TTTAATCTGATGAATAAATAGTTGCCATGAAGGAGTACAAAAACGTTACTAGGACGAGGGGAGGACATTTCTCCTCATTTGATAACACGATGATGAGTCAGGCAACTGACTCATTATAAAGAAGACGACAGAAAAAGAGAGAGAGAGAGAGAGAGAGAGAGAGAGAGAGAGAGAGAGAGCAGCTGTGGTGGAGTAAGTGAAGAGAGGGAGCGCTGGTAGCGAGAAAGCTGATGAATCTGATCAATAAAACATTATTTTGTGATTGTTTCACAGTGGTTATGTTCTAAAGCACAAACATACCCACACCCCCACACACCTCCGTTCAACACTGAGGCTGTACTCCGCACCACCTGATTTGGTCTGAATATTGTCGCCGTCTCGCTGCGTCGCTGCGTTTCTGCTCTCTGCGGGGCTGAGTGTGTGCAGCGCAGCAGAGACAGACAGCGGAGTTACATAAACTCGTTATGTTACTGTAAGTGCTGTAAAAGCTTTGCGAATTAAAAAGCCAAGAAGAGTAATTTATCAATGAGATCAGTGCAAAAGGTGGACAGCATCCAAATGACGAAAAATATTGCCGTAAAAATTGTAATTTGCGTCACAATGACATAAACAATAGAGCAAAATATGAAACGACAGACATTTTTCTCTCGTCACAGGATATGTATCGTCATATCGCACAGCCCTAGTTTCTTGTCAATTCGTTGATGTTTTAAGGCCCATTTATGCTCAACGTTAAATACGGATCCTGATACGGATGTAACCTTCTGTCCGTGGTCCGTGTTCATTTCGTCCGTATTTCTGCACGTTTCCATAAAGCTTACGGATACGGGCCAAACGGAGCAGGAAACCGTGGGGGCAGTGCTGCTGTCACTACCCGATACGTAGCTCTAGTGAGACACGAAGAAGAAATAACAATGGCGGAACTTTTTTGCCTGAAACGCTGAAAATAAAATAAAAGAGGGAGAAAGGTTTTTCCTACTTTATCTTATGTTGTTATATTTCTCCCTCTCCCCTCGCTGGAAGCCTTGGACCTCCTGCCGCCCGCCTCCGCCTTGATTAAACACTGAAAATAAAATAAAAGAGGGAGACAGGTTTTTCCTATTTCATCTTATGTTGTTATATTTCTCCCTCTCCCCTCTCTGGGAGCGTCCGGCCTCCCGCCACGCGCTACCGTCTCAAACACGGAAGCCTCCCTCTCCGCGGAGCCCGCCCGCCCTCCCGGCCCCGCATATACCCCCGAGGCTCGGGTCTCCCTCTCCGCGGAGCCTGTCCGCCCTCCCGGCTCCGCTCCACTCCCAGGGCCGACCCTCGTGCCCTCCGACTGGGGTCCCTCTGTTTTTGTCTTTTATGCAAGAGGTACATTATCAATATCACCTCCACAGTCGCCATGTTTGTTTTTGAGTTTGTTGTTGTTATAAACATTTGACTCTGGGCTGCCCCCAGTGGATATATTGGTTAACATCCATGCCAACATAAAGGACGCATGGAAGTATGTAGGCAGTGACGGTAACATACGTACGTACCGGACGTATACATTTTCGTACGTAAAGGGAGCATAAATGGGCCTTTACCTCTCATGATTTGCATCTCTGTGTGCACCGCCATTGTTGTGTTAAAGTCACGTTGATTTGCAGTGAGGTCGGGGTAGCTCCACTAGGACCTCCAGCCTCGACGGGCGTTTCAATGCATTTTTCCTAGTTGGAGGTCTGAAACTTCCTACCTCCCAGCAGTTAGGAACGCACCATTAAACATTATGCTGCTAAAAACTCCACTCACCTACCCAACATCAATCAAATATCTTCGTTACTTAACAGAGTTATCAAAATACACACACTTATTTACCTGAATCGGGATTTCTTTTTTGCCTGCAGTTACTTACGAACAAACAAAGTCTAAGTACTGGCTTTGTTTGTGGTGGAAAGGGTGAAAGGAGGGAAGAGCTTCTCTTTGTTGGTGGTTTAAAAACCCTCTGTCTTGCAGTGAGCCAATCCGGCAATAGCAATCTTCTTCAGACGGCCCAATCAGCACTCACCACCTGCTTTGCAACAACCAGTCACGCTTCAATACATGCACACCCTCTGACAGGAGGAGAGAGCACATCTTAAAGGTCACTGCAGATCAACACAAGGACAATACCAAAAAATAATGACCTGGGTCATAACAAATATTACAAAAAAATATGAAATCCCTAATTTGAAACGAACTGCTTTTTTTTCTTCTAATTTCCATTCTTACTTTATCTATTATTTGTGTTCATCTGTCATTGCAAATTGTTTCAGCTCTCATGTATTGTTGTGTTTGTTTTATATCTTACGGGTTTTTTGTACATTATATTGTTGAATAAAGTTTTTAATTTAAAAAATTATCTTTTTTTTTTAAAATAATGATCCCATTTAAATGTTGTTAAGGCTTAAGGTTCTGCATAATTAAGGGTGTAGTCATTTTGACTGACAGCCTGTCTGCTCTGCCCAGGACCACCATTAGCGCGTTCACTGACTGCTTGATTAAGTTATATTAGGGTCCTATTATGCCTTGGTGTTAAACTTACGGAGCGTATGGAGTTATAAAGCCTCATGTGCGCTTGATTCTTTTGTGGAGCTTTGTTTACATCCCACAGTAAGACATACATTGATGCAGAAACACCTTCAGCCAGTTTGCATATTGATATTTGTGGCTGCTCCACCACTCATTAGACCTGTCAGTTACAAATATGGCAGAGAAGAAGTGCAATTTTACAGACTGTCTCACACCGACTTGGTTCTCTAACAGAGCAGCTGTCATTATGTGCGACAATTACACACGGCTGTGGCTATTAATAGCGCCCGTGCCAATAATTCATCACATGTAGGCCTACCTGCAAACCATCATCGCGATTGTCATTACGATTACGATACGATAAATTTATAGCTCTTATATTAAAACAGACCTTACAAATTGCTGCCCAATTTAGGATGAAATCAAGATTAAGAACATGGAAATAATGGCTCAAGCGTAAGCTAATTTAAAAGAATGATAATAAATTCCATCAGGTATAGGCCAAATAATTAAGTAGGCTAAGCCTAATTAAGCCTACAAGAAATATTTTAGACAACACAGTGAAGACTGTGAAATGTAACATTATTTACTAATATTGGCAAACCTACAAATAAGGCCTAACTCTAAATCTCATTGTATATTTCATGTCCACCCTATCCCATTATTTTCACCCAGTCTATCCTAAGTATTTTGCATCACAGTGGTCCAAGGAGTTATTAGAAACTACTTTTTAGACTCTTGAGTTGTGCTATCTTACTGTCAGTGTCCTATAGTAAATATGAATTTAAGTATATCTCTGATGTAACCAGTTAGAACTGGAAGTGGCGATGAGGTCTGAAAATATAGGCTATTAAAAGTTTCTTGAAAAAGTTCTCAAAAGGTTTAACTCAAGAATTCCTCCACATAGCCTCCCTGTCTTGCTTCTTCCAAATTTACCAAATAGTTTATTTTTGCCCATGACTGTGATCTGATCTTTTAATCCTTAATAAAAACAGATGCAACTGTTAACTATAATTGACTCTTTTTTTCCATTACATTCATGTTGACAGTAGTGCTGACTTTAAACAAGATAAATAAATAAAAAGCACAAATTGGTGCATAAAAATAGCCTGAATGCAGAAAATGAAGTGTCTAACACTCAAAATCTCATGGGGAGGACCCGCTGACCCCCTCTTGATTTTTGTCCCCCAGGGATGGAGCCACTACGAAGGTGTTCTTTATTTCTACACACTGATGGTGGCAACCCAAGTAGACAAGGGAAGCATTTTCGCATGACATCACATACTAATCCTTCAGTTTACTCTGCTTGCTGCATTTGCCATTAGCTGTTCTTGACAAGACCCGCCGTACTCTGCCTCTGATTGGCTACATTGCACTCCTTGACGCGTTTCTCACTTGTTTTGCCCTTTACGATAAACAGTTCAACTGAAAAAAATTTTGCCTACCTATTTAATGGCTGGCAGTTTTTCTTGTCACTGAGATAACTCTGATTTTACATTAAGTAAAAAAAAGAAAAATAATAAAAGTAGCTTTGCAAGTAGCAAGCTACTTTTGCCATTTCTCGTAGCTCAGCTGGCTACATTTCTCTGGGGATAGCTTCAATATAGGCTAGTGAAACTTCATTTTGATGTGGAGTAAATGGCAGCTTAGCTCACAACATTGTCCAAGTAGCTTGCCCAACACTGATGTCAACACAGTGCTCGCTGTGGAGTAAACTACTGTGTGTGTTGTTACAGAGGGAGTAGAGATAGAGAGATTATGTAGGGGAGTGATGTCAGACAGGAAACCATAGAGATTTGAGATTTGTCTCAATATTATTTGTGTAAACAGATCGACAATCTGTGTCATCTGTAAATATAATACACCCTCCACAAAAACAAAAATTGTTTTTTAGGCAAAACTACTTTTCTAATAAAAATGGAAAAATGGGTCTGCAAATACACACATTCCGCAAATGTAAAAAATATCAGTGAATCTATTTCATTATTTTACAAATAAATAAATAACCATTCGTGAATACCTTCCTAACATTTATAGCTCTTGAACAGGTATTTGTGAATACAGTTTTTATTTGTGAATCTCAATGATACACTTGCAGAGTTGCATTTTATGCCCACTGAATCTTTTTATTTTTTAATTTTTGGAATTTGCTTGTGTGTTTGCAGATTTGTTTCATATTTGTAAAACAGTTTTTTTTGAGTTTACATATATTTTTAAAATTTATGGAAGGTGTTTCGTATTTACAGATTACACATTACCGCATGGATTGTATGTCTTCTCACACCAATAATACTGAGACAAATCTATCTTCATAGGAAACCATCACATGGAGCAGTCCTACAGGGGGACGGCAGAAACATACCCGCTGCTGCTTAAACCTGACAGTTACAGTTATATTGATACAGAGTAATGAGGTGTTTGCAGTAATAATGCTGGCACTTAGACTTTGTGTGTGTGTGTACTAGCTGTTCCCACAGATTGAGGAAGCCATGGTGCTGCCACTCAGGGAGTCAAGAGACCGATACGAAGAGCTCAAACAGATTGATGATGCCATGAATGAGGTGAGAGGATTTATAGGATTAATTTGCTTTGCCCTCTGTGCAGACTGTGACTCAAAACAAGTAATGTTCTCTTCAGGTGCAGAAAAAGAAAAGTGAGAACTTGACCATGGGAGGGAAGAAGAAATAAGACATTTCTGAAGAGGTAGGAAAGAAGAGAACCTGAAGTGCACGGCCAGGCCTCTAACTGGGACAAACACAGATTGTTTTTATAATTCTAATCTGTGTATTTCAGCATCAGCGAGTGTAGAGCACCGGTGTGAAGCAGTGTGACATAAAGTAAATGGAGTTGTCAGACACACTGGTCCATTATGGGCTGAAGGCTTTCCATCACTGTGTCCTCTCCTCCCTTGTTGTTGTTGAGGAGCAGAGGAGCAACAGGATGTATGATGAGGGAAAATCATGGGAATTTCCATTCAGTCACAGAAATGTGATGGATGTGAGATGCGTTACAAACTACTGATGGACTCAAGGACCAGATGGACTATCCAAAGCCTTTTTTAGGGAAATGTCAACATTTGTACTGCACAGCCTACTTCAGTGAACAATATTTAGATACATATCTTCTATCATATGTTTTTTATTTTAGATGTGTTGTTTTTTTTATAGATTGTACAAATTTTTAGTGACCTTTGCTCATTCCTACAAAATAAATAAATAAAAGGATTACTTTAATTACAGACATCTGTCTGGACCGTTTGTGTCTCTGCTTATTATTGTTGAACTAAATACTTATTTCATTTCTTATCTGCAACACAGCCTTTTGACAATGGTTTAAGGAATCCAAACCTTTTCTATATTCCATAATACATACACTGTATGAACATGTAATGTTTATGTATCATATTCTGCATATTTATGGCCCATTTACAAGGCTGGATAACTGAACCAACAAAGTCTGCAACTGCTAAAAAACCCTTCTCATTCACACAGTCTGTGGTCATTTGATTACATTCAGGAATATACTCCCGTAAGCACAGTACTCACTGAAATGAAAAGGGCATCACTAATCACTATTTTATGTTGATAATGTATTAAGGACTGTGTGTAGAGTCAAAGGGATTGCTCTTTGTGATGACCTCATAGAGATTTTCTCCCCAGCTCTGTAGAGCATTTTAGCAACTTTCAGCTCATTGTTTTGGTTTTATGACCTGAAGCTTTAATGATTTGTATGTTTCAGCCTCAGCACTCTCACTAACCTTGTTTCCAGCAGCAGCAGGCAGCTGTGTTCACTGAAAAATTCTGACAAGCTCTGCACTACCTGGTCAGCTGCAAACAACATACAGTTAGAGACTAGCTGATGAACATAGTGGAACATTAACAGCCAAAAAGACCAATGTAATAATAATAATACAATATAATAATAATAATATAACTGGTGGAGACCAATGCAGACCTAAACTAGAGACCATCTTGCAATGTATCACTGCAGCCACAATGCAGTTATCAGTGACTTAAACAAATGTGGGCCAGGGGTCAATCGTACATTCCCTAGTTCCAACCCAACCGTTTTAGCCCCTTGCTCAGACCGTACCCATCTTCAAACTCAACCTTCATTTTGATTTTAACTACAGGAATGCATCTTACACAGCTGTGATATTATCCCGTTGACAAATCTGTCTATAAACAGAGGCCTGTTTAGACCTGGTATTAACATACATTTTGGGTGATCCAATCACAAATGGACTGCTGAGACACAGCGCTATTTGCACCAGTGCTATCATGTGTCTCCAGCTGACCACTTGTGCTCAGATTTCCTTATTGTCCAGTGCAGTTAAAACATACACCTTTTTGCTAGCTGCTCTGTAGCATGCTTGCCAGTCATGTTAGAGGTTGTGTTAGTACAGCTGGAAATATTGCTGTCAGCAGAATTTAACATGTCTCCTTCCATTCGCCAACTTGACATAAAACGGTCAAGTTATGGAGTTTTCAGTGCACTGTCACCAAAACAACCACCACATCCTGCACGCCCTTGTCACGAATGCATCAAGATGCATTAGTGTTTACACTATAAAAGACGTGGTCAAATATGTCCCGGGCCACCTCAGCAAGTGGTTAGAGTGATCGGATCACATTGCTTCTTGGTGGTTGTTTACACTTGTATTTATCGCTGTCCACTTGAGATTGGATCAGCCAGAATGCATGTTAATACCTGGTTAATACCAGGTGTCCATATACTTTGTTTGCTGTGGTATTCTTGATAATTTGGACAATTTAGCATGAAAGAGGTTGATTTAAAGGTCCCATATTGTCTTTTTTATAATAAAGCAGCTATAGGTGCTATATAAAATCTGTCTAGAGTATCAAAATGCTCAGTCAGAAACTGTCTGCCTTGAAATGAGCCATCAGGACTTGTGATGTTGTGATGTCACAACAATAATAATAAGCGCCTGGTCCTGTCTCGTCTCTGCCCAGCAGTAGGCCCTTCAATGGACACGCTGCAGTTTGCCTACTAGCCTGGCACTGGGGTGGACAACGTCGTCATCTTCCTCCTGCATAGAGCTCTTTCCCACCTGGAGAAGCCCGGAAGCTCTGTGAGAATCATGTTCTTTGATTTCTCCAGCGCCAACACCATACAGCCTGCACTTCTGAGGGACAAACTGGAGCACATAGGGGTGGCTAATCACCTCACATCCTGGATCCTGGACTACCTCACGGACTGGGCACAGTATGTCAGGACCCAGGATTGTGTATCAGACTTGGTTGTCTGCAGTACAGGGGCCACGCAGGGGACAGTGCTGGCACCGTTCCTCTTCACCCTCTACACTGCAGACTTTTCATACGACACCCCCACCTGTCATCTGCAGAAGTTCTCTGACGACTCTGCCATCGTCGGCCTCATCACAGATGGGGACGACAGGGAATACAGAGAACTGAACCAGGACTTTGTGGACTGGTGCCTGAGGAGCCACCTTCAGATCAACATGGTGAAAACCAAAGAGCTGGTGGTGGATTTCCGCAGGCGCAGACTCCTCCCCCCAACACCAGTGAACATCCAGGGAAAGGACATTGAGATGGTGACATCTTATAAGTACCTGGGTGTTCATCTTAACAATAAACTGGACTGGACTAATCACACAACAGCACTATACAGGAAAGGCTAAAGCAGACTCTACCTGCTGAGGCGGCTCAGGTCTTCTGGAGTGCAGGGGGCGCTCCTGACGACCTTCTTTGACACTGTGGTGGCATCAGCCATCTTTTATGGAGTGGTCTGCTGGGGCAGCAGCGTCTCGGCTGCAGATAGGAAGAGACTGGACAAGCTGATCAAGAAGGCCAGCTCTGTCCTGGGATGCTCTCTGGACTCTGTGCAGGTGGTGGGAGAAAGAAGGATGACAGCCAAGCTGTCGTCTCTGAGGACTAACGACTCCCATCCCCTGCAGGAGGAGATAAACGCTCTGGAGAGCTCCTTCAGCGATAGAATGATTCACCCAAAGTGTGTGAAGGAACGCTTTCGCAGGTCCTTCCTGCTGCTGTCAGGCTACATAACCAGCACTGCTCACAGTAAACTGCACCATGGACACTTTAGGGACACTATGGACACTTTATGGACACCACTATAAGCATTGTTGTCCCCCATGTTGTTGTTTATTTGCACATTCAATATTCACTTTGCACTAAATACACTGAACAAAAATATAAACTCCATGTGGACATTCCTGCCGTCAGCATGCCAATTGCACGCTCCCTCAAAACTTGCGACATCTGTGGCATTGTGCTGTGTGATAAAACTTAACATTTCAGAGTGGCCTTTTATTGTGGCCAGCCTAAGACACACCTGTGCAATAATCATGCTGTCTAATCAGCATCTTGATATGCCACACCTATGAGGGGGGACGGATTATCTTGGCAAAGGAGAAGTGCTCACTAACACAGATTTAGACAGATTTGTGAACAACATTTGAGGGAAATGTTCTTTTGTGTGTATAGATGTTTTAGATCTTTGAGTTCAGCTCATGAAAAATGGGAGCAAAAACAAGTGTTGTGTTTATATTTTTGTTCAGTGTATGTTCACTTTAATCCATTGCTCACTTTTTATCCACTGCTCATCATTATTATTATTTATTGCTGTTTCTTGTATTTTTTTTCTGCATGCCTAGTTTTTTAAGTTTTTAAATATTGAAATCTTTAATTTGACTCTTTACCCTTGACTGCTGTAACACTGGAATTTATCAATTGTGGGATCAATAAAGGTGTATCTTATCTTATCTTATCTTAATACAGTACAGGCCAAAAGTTTGGACACACCTTCTCATTCAATGCGTTTTCTTTATTTTCATGACTATTTACATTGTAGATTCTCACTGAAGGCATCAAAACTATGAATGAACACATGTGGAGTTATGTACTTAACAAAAAAGGTGAAATAACTGAAAACATGTTTTATATTCTAGTTTCTTCAAAATAGCCACCCTTTGCTCTGATTACTGCTTTGCACACTCTTGGCATTCTCTCCATGAGCTTCAAGAGGTAGTCACCTGAAATGGTTTTCCAACAGTCTTGAAGGAGTTCCCAGAGGTGTTTAGCACTTGTTGGCCCCTTTGCCTTCACTCTGCGGTCCAGCTCACCCCAAACCATCTCGATTGGGTTCAGGTCCGGTGACTGTGGAGGCCAGGTCATCTGCCGCAGCACTCCATCACTCTCCTTCTTGGTCAAATAGCCCTTACACAGCCTGGAGGTGTGTTTGGGGTCATTGTCCTGTTGAAAAATAAATGATCGTCCAACTAAACGCAAACCGGATGGGATGGCATGTCGCTGCAGGATGCTGTGGTAGCCATGCTGGTTCAGTGTGCCTTCAATTTTGAATAAATCCCCAACAGTGTCACCAGCAAAACACCCCCACACCATCACACCTCCTCCTCCATGCTTCACAGTGGGAACCAGGCATGTGGAATCCATCCGTTCACCTTTTCTGCGTCTCACAAAGACACGGCGGTTGGAACCAAAGATCTCAAATTTGGACTCATCAGACCAAAGCACAGATTTCCACTGGTCTAATGTCCATTCCTTGTGTTTCTTGGCCCAAACAAATCTCTTCTGCTTGTTGCCTCTCCTTAGCAGTGGTTTCCTAGCAGCTATTTGACCATGAAGGCCTGATTGGCGCAGTCTCCTCTTAACAGTTGTTCTAGAGATGGGTCTGCTGCTAGAACTCTGTGTGGCATTCATCTGGTCTCTGATCTGAGCTGCTGTTAACTTGCGATTTCTGAGGCTGGTGACTCGGATGAACTTATCCTCAGAAGCAGAGGTGACTCTTGGTCTTCCTTTCCTGGGTCGGTCCTCATGTGTGCCAGTTTCGTTGTAGCGCTTGATGGTTTTTGCGACTCCACTTGGGGACACATTTAAAGTTTTTGCAATTTTCCGGACTGACTGACCTTCATTTCTTAAAGTAATGATGGCCACTCGTTTTTCTTTAGTTAGCTGATTGGTTCTTGCCATAATATGAATTTTAACAGTTGTCCAATAGGGCTGTCGGCTGTGTATTAACCTGACTTCTGCACAACACAACTGATGGTCCCAACCCCATTGATAAAGCAAGAAATTCCACTAATTAACCCTGATAAGGCACACCTGTGAAGTGGAAACCATTTCAGGTGACTACCTCTTGAAGCTCATGGAGAGAATGCCAAGAGTGTGCAAAGCAGTAATCAGAGCAAAGGGTGGCTATTTTGAAGAAACTAGAATATAAAACATGTTTTCAGTTATTTCACCTTTTTTTGTTAAGTACATAACTCCACATGTGTTCATTCATAGTTTTGATGCCTTCAGTGAGAATCTACAATGTAAATAGTCATGAAAATACAGAAAACGCATTGAATGAGAAGGTGTGTCCAAACTTTTGGCCTGTACTGTACATAAAGGTAGCTGCTGCTACAGTGCCATTACAGTCATTGCCCAGCTGCAGAGACCTCGAGAGCCCAGATGCAGGTTGAATCCAAATGTCCACCCTCTGGACTTGTGGACTGAGTCCTTGAGGACTGATGTACATACTGTGACGTGTTCACTGTCATCACCTAGAGTCTGTGAAGGGCAGAGACAAGTTGCAAGTTGCTGATAAACAGGCCTCAAGTCTGATTCACCTGTTGCAATAGAAATGTTCAAATGGTAACTAGTCATGTACAAGGTGTTTGCTACTGTTATATTCTTCAAGCAAGCTGATGAATAGTATGTGCTCCTCTGTCACTGCAGAGAACAGGTTATAAATCCCATGTACAGGTTTTTTCGTGACTCAACAAAATGATGTTTGTACATTTCTACCTTGAACATAGGCTACACACTCAAACAGAAATGTTTGTAAATAAGGATCAGACTATGAACAAATAAATTACTTACATTAGATGACCTTTAGTTGTTTCTCTGCCAATTTTCTAGCCTATTATACTACGCAGGCTTGTTTGGCTGCAGTAGTACAATGAATTTTGATTTCTCTATCATGATGTGATTGAGTTTCTGGCCAAGACAATTCAAGTAGCATTTAATAGGCCTAACTATCAATAACTATTTTACACAGTCATAAGTTTTGTTTTTTAAGTTGGCAACTGAAAAAAACTACACCGCCACATCTGTATTGCAATGAATTGTGGGAAGTTGCTGACCCAGGTGACACCCAAGCCAGTATGACACTTATTTTTGCAGTTTCACTCATCCTGAGGTAACTTTTAAGAACTAACTGCATATTTTGCAGATTCTAAAAAACTACATTCACAACAAGAAGAACATTATTGTCAGTTACACCCCTTCGGTTGTTTATGATTATTTTGTTCATCTTAACAATTGTTATTTCTACAGTAACTTTCTATTCCGCGGGTCATCAGTAAATTAAATTAGCTGTCATGTGTCATTAGGCTTCTTTCAGCTGTCAGCATGCTGTCATTTGTTTGGAGCCCAGTCAAAGTGACACATATTCTGCTGTGCAGAGGATTGTGGGTCAGAATAGCCAGAATAGCCAGAAAAGCATGCTGGCTTTCATACTGCAAAATGTGACTGGATGGACATCCTGGTATTTTTGGCATTCTGCATTTGACACACTTTGTATTGAGACATGCTAAATATTTTTTTGGCATACTATACAGTTTGGTAGTTTTGGTATTGGAACACACAGATGGCTTCCACTCTACTCTTCGTCTGCCCTCTCCTAGGCAGCTACTTTACAATGTGCTGCTTCTCACAACCAGGACTCAATCATATCGTGGTTCTCACGCAAATCAAAGACACTCTTCAAACCCAGACATGCTGTATCAGTTCTGTGTGTGAGAGACAGAAATATGTTAAAAAACGTTTTTGTAGTGCACAGCAGGAAGTAACAAGTACAGAGTAACGAGCAGCAGTGAATGTGAGGAGAGGGCACATAGTGCTCATTTACAAACAGTATGTTAGATTCAGTGATGGTGGTGGAAACAGAAGGCACAGTTTAATGTTATCCGCAACGTTTATTTTAAAAAATCAGCCAGAAATATGAGCCAAACATAAAAATCCATCTTCATGTGTTAAAGCACAAACTCTCCACATGCTTCATAAAAACTCACATTCAACTCAGATCCATCATTCAAAGTATCAAACAAAAAGGAAACAATAGCTCTCTTTTCAAAGTGTCTGTTCAGGTAGATGAGTGAGTTACAGCGTCTGACGTCTCCTTCTTGGCCTTCTTGTTGTCGTTTGCTTTCTGTGCCTTCATCCTCTTCAGCTGCTGCTCCTCCAGTCTCTGCTGTTTCTTCTGCAGGTATGCCGTCACGTTGTCAAAGCTCACCTTGTACAGATGCTCTAAGCGGTTGTGGGTCCTTGTGGAGGCTGCGGTGTAAGAGAACAGCGAGGAGGAAAAGGTTGGTGACAGGAACAACAGCCAAATTATTATCTGTGACATCATACGCACATGAAAAACAGGAGAGGTGGGGACATACACCAAAAACTTAACTTCACCCTCAGGTCATATGTGACTCTTAAATTCCTCCTGGTCATGTGTTGTTCTCATCTACATTTGTCTTTAAGAAGCACTGTGTTATCCTGCTGTGCACCATGATAATTGTTAGATATATCCAGAGGGGGAATGACTGTAAGGTTGTGCACGCAGTTTGGCAACGGAGGTTTGGCTGAGTGCAACAGCTTCTCAAGCTGTACAGGGGCATAAATCACTAAAAATCATGCATGCATCATGAATCAAATCGACAAATTGACTTTGACAACTGGTTACTGATTTCCAGATCCATCTGCTGTTACTGAGTGTGTAGAAGATAATAGCAAGTAGCCTCACATTCAGAGGCCAGACAGATATTTGGTGGAGAACCCTGACAAAGAATCACAAGCACACAAGTGACTAGATGCTTCTGACTATGTTATCTGTGGTCAGGTACAGAACGTCACATGCCATGACATAGACTCAAAGTTTTGTGTCTTAAAACCAGAAATCCTCTCTCCCCAAAGACAAGGACACAAAACCACTGTGTCAGAGGCTTGAGTTACAATTAAAGGGGTAGTTCCGATTTTTGAAGTGGGGTTGTATGAGATACTTATCCATAGTCAGTATATACAGTGGATGTCAGTCATCATGCCTTGAGTTTGGAGAAGCAGGCTGGAGTCTGACATGGAAGCTAAGAAATCTACTGCTGTCGATATCAATTTAAGTGTATGTTATATTGAGAGTATTTTCACTGCTTTAACTTAATGTCAGACAGTGAATTCCAACAGGAAAATGAAGCCATTGTGTTGCTTTCTTCAGAGCCAAACTCCATTGTGAAAAACAGTGATTTAACATTGTTGAACACAAACCAGCAGCTCCTGTGTTCAGCAAGCTAAAGTTACTCTTTTGGTCACTGGAGTCTGGTGGCTTTCATGAGAGCGTAAATTGGAACTGAAGATGTCAATGGCTTCCCTGTTGGAATGGACATTGTTCAGCTTCTGTGTCACACTCCTGCCTGCTTCTACAAACTGGAGGCATGCTTACTGACATCTACTCTATATAATATACTGATTATATTCAAGTACCCCATACAACCCCACTTCAAAAAATTCACTCTCTTACTCTCTTTAACAAGCCAACATTACAACAGGGAATTGTGTCTGCATTTTGTGTTGTTGACTTGCTGGCTAATATACTTCAGAGCTCAAAATTACAGTTGTTATACAAACACGAATCCTACTTCTTTAGGATTCCAGTTGGATTCTTGATTGTGTCCTGAGTCCAGCTAAGTTAACACATGTAATAGTCTGCAGCCATAAATGGCGATTCGGTTTAACAAGTAACCTTGTTAACTTGTGACCCTCAGCTGAATGCGTCTGTGGTTGCTCGTATGGTTGGTGTAGATCATTGGGTCCCAACCTTTTTCCTTCAGGGATCCCTTCTCTGTCATTAAGTAAACGGATGACACCTGACTAAGTAACATATTTTATGGATATTTCATATTATATTCAAAGCCTAAGAATAACAGAACAGAACAACTGATAAACTATATAATTAAGCCAGATAATACACACAATAATTGCAGGAAGATTGTTTAAAACCAGTGATTTGGATGAATATTGAGCAGATCATTTCCTGTGAATATAAAATATTACATCAGAGATACATTTTCAGAATATTTTTAGGAACTTTTGATAAGATTCTGTCTGTATCATGTATTTTTAGGAGGCTGAGCTCGCAAGATCCAACAAGTCCACCACCTATGATGTCAAGACGCAAAATGACACAGGCTGTTCCAGCAGTTCCATTTTTCTATATTCTGACGCGATGAACGACATGTTAGGGTACGTTAATTAGAGTCTGTACAGCTGCACGTAAACTAGGGATGTCCTCTGATCGGGTATCGGTGCCGATTACGTTATTTTTACAAAGTCGGAATGGGTAATAAAAGATCGGAGGAATCAAAACAACAACAATGGCCAGGTTTTTCATCTATGTTGTTCACTGTTGCCTCCGCTTTCCAATGTATAGCCTAAAGTGTGGCGATCCTGTATATTTTATAAATATATTTTTTTTAATAAGACAGTCAGCTGATGGCTTGCTCACCTCTTGACACTGAGGTACCTCCAGACACACCCGCCGGTGCTATCGGCCAGTGGGATGGCTCGATCAGCTGAGTCCAGGTAGACCGGCCCCTACATTATGCCGCTCCTGGTAGTATGGCGAGAGTCGCCGGCGAGTGAGAAATGAGCCAGAAGTCCTCTGCGTATTCGGCCTACCACGGCATTTTACACCACTCAAAGTCCGCAAAATAGGTGCGCTTCCCTGGAATATCATCCACCCGACCACCGGCCTCACCTCAGATTCCCCGCCACGGATATCAAGGGATCCTACGGAGCCTCCACACCCGAAACAACGCCGGAGCGTTACGGCATTCACACACGGTCCTGTGAGTTGGCAAAAGCCGGGGGCTACTTTTCGTTTCATTATTCCTTATTTGGAACCTTCGGGCCGGGTTGATTTAGTGTTTTGAAACTGAACTGAGTCAGATATGGTGTAAGACAACTATCAAAAAGATATGTGCATAGTTTTAACCATTTGTATTCGTAATGTTAAACATTTGTATGTCAATAAAATTCACAAAATTCTGCTGTCATATAGGCCTACGTGAGTTTGTGAAATTGTTCGGGTTAGGATTGTTTTTATGTGAGTATGAATCTAAAAGCTGTGAGTGCAAAGTGTTGTGAACACTAATTCAAGTTTGTGGGTACGTGTAGAAAAGTGTTGAAATTACGTCACTGAGGTCACAGGCAGATCACAGGGGAAAGTAATCAACCGTGATTCCTCCAAACGCGCATGCCCCAAAGGCAAAGATGGCTGACGACAGCGGACTGGGTGGAGCTGCCAGCTTATGTTGCTGTGTCCACTGTTGCTGTGTGATCCACTAAATCGTGTCCCATAAGAACAACCCAAATGTGGGGCGTCAGTGTCTTAGTGGTAGAGCAGACGCCTATGGCAAGCCATTTTAACATTTAATCGCTAGACTGGATATTCATTACTGATATCTGCAACATAATTTTGCCTAGTCAAAACTCTTATTCAAGATATCAATAATTAGATTTTGCCTAGTCAAAACTCTAATTACAGATAACTGTAATTCAATTTTAACTAGTAAGATTCAAACTATTTTTGCCATTCATGTGTACGGGGTTTGTCATTATAGATATCTCCAATGTAGCTGTGGATATCTGCAATTGTTATTGCGGATATCTGCAACTGAACTGTGGATATCTGTAATTCCAGTTTGAGATATCTACAATTTAATTTTGACTAGTCATAATTCAAGTTCAAGATATCTTTAATTATCATCAATTGAAGATATCTACATGGTCCTTTCTAGATATCTTGAATTGAGTTTCAGATAGTCAGAATGACGTTGTAGATATATTGAATTCGAATTATGACTAGTCAAAATGACGTTGTAGATATCTGCATCTGAATTATGACTAGTCAAAATGACGTTATAGATATCCGCAACTGAATTATGACTAGTCAAAATGACGTTGTAGATATCTGTAACTGAATTATGACTAGTCAAAATGACGTTGTAGATATCCGCAACTGAATTATGACTAGTCAAAATGACGTTGTAGATATCT